ATTTGTATCAATGTCCTCATCAGTGTTGTCTTCAATGTCACCACTAGAGCTGCTATCCTCATTGTTAACATCATTGACATCAACATTGTCTTCATCATCAATGTCATCATTATCATCATCACTGTCATCATCTTCAAAGCCGGTATTTTTTGGTCTTTCTGAAATGTCTGTGGAAAGGGAGTTTGAGGAGGTTTGAGTTAGGAAGGCAAATATCGTTGAGTTGAAGTATCATTGCATGCGTTGAGCAATCACASGATAGCAGATGCATTTTGAGAGTGAAGAAGCATCAATAGACCATGCAAAGTTATCCAAGTTTTTCACCTACATGTATACTCACCATCAACATTTATGTCAGAAAGAGATCTTCCAACAAGGTTTTCTATATTTCCTGCATCTACAGCCAGCAACAACTTGCTAACCTTGGCCAGCTCCAGAGTGGACTCATGAAGTCGGTAGTACTGGCGGTGAATTGAAATGTCATGCCCTAAGTGCCTTGCTAGCCAATCCATGTCATTTTCTGTCAGGCTTCCTACCTGAGCCACAGTAGCAATATACTTTCTCAATTTTGTGCTTGTAATTAGCTCTGGCCTTTCTAAGTTTCCAACACAACTGAGAGTTTTTTTCATGCTCTCCCATCCTCTAGCATAGGACTGGGAATCCTGGTTTGCTCTTGCAAAGACATATTTGTTTTTTGTCGACACCCCAACTTGTTCTCTCTTTGAAATCAAGACATCAATTGCATTTTTGACATCACTAGTAAGGATGATAGGCACTTTCCGTCCTCTTTTCCCAATCACTTGCACCAAATCCAGACTGAAGAAATAAAGAAAGTTTTTAAAAATCATTAGAGGAATTTAATACTGTATAAGATACAGTGCAGCCCAGAAGCATGTGTACATTTATCGCGATCTTTGCGCACCGAGTGCTCGCGATCTGCTCGCAATTTGTTCRCAAATGTGGTTTAGCATGTAATTTAATTAATGCATTAGCCAAAATAACATGTGACTTTTTGGAGTTTACTGGGGGCAAACAAGAGGTTGACTGAGGGGCAACTATCAGATATTAAGTCAAAACATGTCAAAATAAGTGCTCGAAGTATTGACTATTTCTACC